TTTTAGGCCTAAAATTTTGATTTTCAAATTTTAGACTTTTTAAGACCCTGCACGAACCCTGTAAGGCAGGGGTCGAACAACCAGCAATTAAAGTCATTACAAAGATCTGTTACCTTTGAAATAGTTTGTTAGCTGCATTTAATCATGAATACAACATACAGAACCCTACGTAATAAATGTAGTGATAGTAAAACAATATCCAAAACAAAAGTAACATTCTGCCTCCTGTTTAACACAAATATTTTGACATCTCTGACTTGCCAAATTTTTAAACCWATTTTATTTTCACTTTCATAGWTTTATCTTCAACACCTTGTAGTTTTAACTGTCTTGGATGTGCATAGAAATGKTTTTYTCCYAGCTTCTACCCAAGATTCTGATGTTTCTGTAGATACCAAACATGTCCATGTTTAACTAAAAGAACTTASAGTAATTAAAGTAGAAAACTGGGGGTTTGGCTTAAGAGATGAATGAACCAATTGGTGGACCAAACTTTGGACACTCGCGTGGCATATCYGGCCCGAGAGCTGCCAGTTGACTGGCCCTGATCTAGTTCATCCATCCATGACATTTCTATTTTTCAACATAATCAAAATCGCTGACATCACAAAAGGTGGAAATCAACTGATCAGTTTGTCAGAGTAYATCCATTGTCTTTTTCTCAGTTTTTATGTTTTTGATAAAATTCATCCTTCTAAGGCGGCAGTGCTCAACCCTGTTCCTCGAAGTGCCACGATTCTGCATGTTTCAGATGTTTCCCTGCTCTTCAAGTTCTGTAAAAGCCTGGTAATCACTCATTTATTCAAATCAGGTATTTTAAAGCAGAGAAACATCTAAAACATGCAGGATAGTGGACCCATGAGGAGCAGGACTGGSCCCCACTAACTTTAAAGTTACAGGAAGTGTGTCGTTACCTCTTTGGCTACAGTGTGCCAGTGCAGGTGGCTCTCACATTGGTCCATGCGCTCCTGGTGGAGGAACTTGCACTTGTCAGGAACAAGCAGGGCATCACTCACAAATTCTCCCACTGCAGAGACAACAAAACCAGGTTAASATACATTTTTATGGCTTTTAATTAAAAGAAAACATAATATTTTTATCCTTACGGAAAACAGAAACAGTGAGTCCATCTAGTGGGCTTACCCAGGCAGCGGTAGGGCACCACTATGTGCATGTGACTGCGACACTGCTTGCGCCCCTTTTTGCACCAGCTCTGGATGCTGACAGGCTGATTGGCTTCCACCACATTAGTAATCTGGAGCTCTGGATACACCTAGAGCCGAAACATAACAGGTGTATGAAGAAACTGCCTTTCAACACCACAAAGCACAGAGGATTAGGCATTTCTCTGACAGTTTTTCTTATCACTTCATATAGTCAATATTTGTTTGTCAACTTGTTGAAATAAACCCACTTTAAAGCAACAGATTAAAAAAAAGGTAAAACTTTAAATTGATGGCCTCCATCCATAAAACAAAACAAAAACAAACAAACAAAAAAAAACCACTAATTTGTTTATCATGAACTCACAGCCTGTTGACCAGGCCGTCACTTGTTCTCTTATAAACACATGACTTATCTGTACTTCTGAGTAAGCGAGCTTCTGTTGTTTCACCAGAAACGATGACTTCAGTGAACGACCGAATCACCAGTTTGTCAAACTTGTGATTCATGACGCTGAGGTCACTTTTGGTCACATGCTCTGAGCTACAGATTTACAGCCATCAGCTGAGATTTTACTAATCCCTCTGCCCTACAATGCCCTACAAATATCCAAACGGGGGCACCCCGCACCCCAACAGAACTGCCCCCGGCCTTCCCATGGAGTAAATTAAATTAATAAACGTCTGTATGTGTTTGAACGTGATTAATTGTGTGCGGCTGGAGAAGACACTAAAGCAGATCATTTCAGTGCCAGTTTATGTGGTCCCATGCACATGTCCCATTCTGGCCCATGCATGGACCACCTCTGGCAAACCACAACTGGACCACCAAAGGGCAGTCATTCTTTGCAGTATCTGGGACAAGTGTTGGTGTATTGTGTGGGCCAGACAAATTTTGCTAGGTGGGAATGTCCTCACTGTAAGTGTCAATTTCAGGTGTGTGTAGTTTATCCTAAATATCTGCAAAGTTCAATTCTACACAGGATTCTAGGTAAATAAACAAGGGTTTGGTTATTTGGATGTATCAAACTTGCTTGCATTTTGAACTAGACTGTGATGTAACAGTACTGTGATGAATTTAATTAAATAAATGATCAAATATGGAAAATAAAATGTATTAAATTACCTAGGCTAAAACCTTTCCAACAGAATCCCTTTGAATAAAATAGTTTTTAAAAAGGCAGAAATCTGTCAGGCTGCCAAATAAAAAAAGTATTTTAGGCTATTTTGTACTGTACAAAATTTAAATTATTTAAATTATCACCATTTTGAATGTGATAGAAATATTTATTAAAAAACGCAGAAACGTGAAATGAGATTAAGTGTCTGCGTGATAGCCGTCAAAGATAATTTAATAAATGATGGCAGAGCAACAACTTCTCAGACCRATCAAGAAATCTGTCAAGCTGTTACTGTCGAAACAATGAACAGAAACACACTTAACATCCGGTGATAATTCATGAACATCCARTCACAGACCGACAACTGTAAACCTGGTCCAATGACAGAGCACCAGCTCAGAAAAAGATTACAAAATAAGACAAGGTTACAGATATTATAGGYGTCTTGAAATCTTGAGAAACAAATTAAACAAAAAGGTAGTAGTTATCAAATAAGAGATACAGTAATATGTCAAGACAGTATGAACTTGTACAGGCATAGTTATATAAGCAAGTTATATAAGTATTCCATCACACTGAATATAAAAAAAATCTATATAAAAAGATAAAAATCAGCTTCTCATCATCAAGCTTTAGGGGTGTCTTTCACTATAATCACATTGTGACTAGTCAACATTCACACTGTGAGGGTTGTTCTGTTTAAAAAAAAATCTAATTTATTAGACATTCTTGTCCAACAAATTGGATGAGAATGTTTCAAGTAACCATCAAATTAATTAAATCTGAGGGTTACTTGAACATTAAAAATTGCAGGACTGGTAATGCAGGCAAGCTAGACAAACAGAATTGCTACAAAAATTATATATTTTTTATATCTGATCATTTATCAAAACAATCAGTCAAAAATGTTGCCACCACCTAAAAGAATTAACCAATTTKTAAATTTAACACCAAAAGTTATGGGAATGTTCTCTTAGAAACCCCAAAAAATACACTACAGTGAGAAAASTCCTTATTTTTATTGTTATACTACACATTTGTCTTATGTTAAATTTATTAAATGGTAAATGGACTGTACTTATATAGCGCCTTTCTACTCAACCAGGATACTCAAAAGCGCTTTACACTACAATCTGTGTCCTCATTCACACAGCACTCTGTAAGGTCTCTACAAAGCTAACATGTACAATCATCTATGGAGACTAATCAGTGCCAATCACATTCATACACTGATGGGACACACATCAGAGGCATCAGGGGTGAAGTGTCTTGCCCAAGGACACAGCAACTGAGACAGCTGGACGGGGGATCGAACCTGCGACCTTCCGGTTCCAGGACGACTCCCCTAACCACTCTGCCACAGCTGCCCCCTTTTACTGCTGTTAAAAGCAAAACCTAAACTTGAATTCTTTGTCTTGTTGATCCCCAGAAAGSCCAGCAACACATAGGTTGTACTAAGTCTGCACATCGTGTCTGTTTGAATAGGTTTCGTTTTTTTATATTTAATGTCACCTCTTCTGTTCTATTTCATCTTTTTGTCTTTCCTAATGTAGAGAAACAAAAACAACTTTCCCATTTCTATCAAATCATTTCATATTGAGACTTTTTGAGGCAGATAACTCTAGTGTTAATCAGTGGTGTGTTAATCAGCAGAGTTAATCTTCCTTTTTAAGGCTTTGTTTTTTAGAGAATTTGTCTCTTATCAGTTCATTTATCAACACGAGCAGTAATGTTTCCAGCATCAGTTCAGTATTTTTATGTTAAATTGCCTTTAGATTTGCTTCAGTTACTAATTACAAGCTGACCGTGGCTGTAAAAGTAGTCACGTGGATTTAGCAGCTTGTTTACTGAACAGTGTTGGCATCACATTGTCCTGCTAAACTGGGGATTTTATTGACTTCAAAAAAAGAAAAGAAATCTGCTTGAAAACGTGTAGGCTTTAGAAAATAATTGTTTCTGTACTTTGAKTTTCTTTTTAAAAAACAGCAAGGATAAACAGCTTCCTCTCTGAACACCCACGGTTCATTTGGCTTTGGTCAAGTTTTGTAAAAATGTTTTGTTGAACAAATCTAAATCAAACAAACCATTTCTGGAAACTTGCAAAAATGAAACAAGAGAAATCATCTCTGAGATTTAAAACACCCACCTCCTGGCAGTACTGCAGGATGCCCTCTTTGGTACCGATGCAGCTCTTGGTGCCCGAGGGGTCAGGCTCCCACTTGCCGCTCTGCACGTTGATGTGCATGTTGAGTTTACCGCAAAACATGGCCACCTGCGGCTCAGCCAGCAGACCCATGGAAACATCAGTAGGAACCTGAGATGACAGGAGAGACAAAAGTTTAACCAGATACACAATTTGTGTTTGACGATATCATGCTGAGACTTAAAAAAAAAAAAAGAGAGAAATAGGTTAGGGCTGTAGTTCTCAAATCGGGGTGAGTGCTTAATAGGTGTTCTTATTTTTTTCAATTTTTTTAGATTAAACAACAAATTACTCAGAGAAAACAGAATAGAACGGGTATAATATTGTCCTTCCTTTAATAAACATGCTAATGTTTAAAYACTTTGCAGGGAGAGGGGCTGGAAAAAAAAAGTTTGTGCAAGACAGACAAGAGGGAATTAATGATTTCTTTTTTCCACTTTTATAAAGAAGTTGAATTTGATTTCCATGAAACTCACACCGAAGGTCATTAAATCACAGCTAAGGTCTCAGTACTGTCTGTGTTACATATTGGCATATTCCACTTSGCAAAAAGATCTTGCTTGAARATGATAGRAAAAAAACGACAAAGAGCAAAAATCAATCCCTTTACAAGAATAAATTACCTCAAAGAAATATGCCTTGGGCAAACAACAAACCCTGTTATTTGTGTACAAACACACCCACTCAGCTGCACTGTGCTCCACACTTTGTATTAACAGTGCCCATCCTTGTTCCTTGTAGTTTTTTTTTTCATTTCAGACTGTATGGAGCTTATATAACCCCCCACCCTCTAAGTCAAGCCCATATTGAGAACAAGAGCAGGTTGTCTGCAGGCAACAGGATCAAAGCCCGTGTGTGCAGAAGAGAAAAACCAAGCATGAATGTAGTCATTTCTTTCTCCGCTGATTTACGTCCCTGTGTGACGATTTGCACGTCTGTCTACACGAGATGAGGTTTTGTGTCGAGGTTTCCCCCTCAGAGAAGAGGCGCAGACAAACCGCTGAATGTCTGCATTGTGTCGGCAAATGAGCTAGAACAAAACGAGAGGGAATATGGGAGGCAGAACGAGAAGGAGACAGAGGGAGGGTTAGAGAGGGACCGCTGCCATTGTGCGCTCCCTAATCTTGTTAATGGTTTGAAGGCCCTGGCAGGCAAACAAATGTTGTTTTGTGAGATGGATAGCATATTTTCCCCCCACAGACTCCATCTCTCTCCAAGCAGCCATTGGCATAAAATCMGCCTCCAATAAAAGGGTGGCCGGTGGGGGCGTCGATTTGTATTCAGTTTGAGGGTTAAAAACTCAAACCTCAGGATCAAATCGGAGAGAATGTACCTGATGTATCACTGCTAAAGCTTAACTTCATCAGCCTTCATCGTCCTTCATTTGCACAYGTTCTGTTTGCACAGCTGGCAGGAGCCGAGGATGATGACGGCACTCCCAGGAGCTGTTCTACATTCACCAGACTGCATTCGAATAAAACAAACCAGAAGTGAAAGCTTCTCCGGTTCGACGACGCAAGGACATGTACACTGTGAAGCCATTTTATATTACTGTACACAAACATAGATGGAAATGTTGATTTATTCCCCATATTATCTGCATTTTTTATTTTTGTTTGTGTTAATGCGTTAACCCTTTTGTCAAAAAAAGAAATATGTCCTCTGAACGGGTTCTTTAATGAAACGTTTCGAGACTTCTTCAGTCTTTTATTTTTCTACCTTAATTACTGAGAAGAATCAGGACAAAAGTCTTTTGTGTTTGTCTTCAAAAGTAAAACAGCTTAGTTTAGTTAAAATAAACTGATGACTCAAAATCATCCATTTGATGGCGTCTTTACAACCTCGTTTTTTCTAAATTGATTATTTAATATTGACTCAAGGTCATAAATCTCTTCATGGGTTGATCCATCATCCAGTCTGGTTTATTATTATTATAATGGACTATAATTCTAAAAAATTACACATCTAATAAAATAAATAAAAATGCCACTACAAAGCACAATATTTATTTATTTATTTATT